TATATATATTATAAGAAATATATATATTATAAGAAATTATATTATGTAGGCGACCGATAATGACGACAAAAGGTTGAAAGAATCAACGTTGAAAGAATCATCCCCGGAAATGGGCTTTCTACCGATATGGCGCGCGCGTTGTATTACTCCTTATAATCCGGAGTTATTGCCACCGGAAACAGCTCTACGAGAGGAAGTAATTAAAACCATAATCACGTATATTTGATAATTCAAATATTACATCGTAATTGTCCTTCATGCGATCTGTTTTAATACGTCTACCGATTCGTGGGTGATGCTGATATCGATCTCCTGAATAATTGATGGGAAATTGATAAATCGGTTAATACAAGGATTTTATGTAAAAGTTTTACAGCATCAACGCATAGTTATATTTGTTTCATTTCGGAGCTAGATAACTACGAAAACGAATTAATATTGGAAAGCGGAATTGTGAGTTCGCGATCTATATATCCAATCACTTTTTCCTAAAGAGGGTAGGATTTTCTTAATACATTGTCTGCGTCATCGGAAGCGGAAATGATTCTTCCGGTAAAATGAATTTTAATCGATCGCTTTATATTAACGAGACTAGCGAATATCCGATAGTTATTTCCAGCGCGTCGCTAGACTATGGACTTCCGTAATCATTAATAGAATTACGATATCCGGGCAGAGGATAGTCTTTCTTCTCAAATCATGTTTGTGTCACTTCTCGTTACCCTGACATGATATATCACCGGTATCCGATAGGATTATAAAATCTAATACATCCCGAAACGTTTCGTTCTGACAAGATATCATGTTCGCATAGATGTCAATTCCATCCTCGGTCAACAAAGACGAAGATGATGTTTGGTCAAAAATCGAAGAGGCCTCCGATTATCCGGAAGAAGATTATCACGAAGAACATTATCAAGAAATGGCATCGTCTCAGGGCGACAATCTTTAATTGTGATGAAATATATGAACTACCGGCTCCAAGCAGTTGATTAATCAATTTGTGAGCGTATTACATATTCTCCTTGTTATACACAATATGCTAATTTTCTTCCGCATAGATAGTGTAAAACAAAATTAAACGAGTATGTTTTTATTACTAATTTTAAAAAATAACGCATTATAGTTTTATCGTTATTTAAAAAGAAACGATTCATTACTTCTTTGTAACGCTAAATTAAATATAAAAACTACATTATTTAATAATTTTTATTTAATATTGATTGTAACAATCAATATTACATAAATACAACTTGAAACTTTAAGTTAGTCTGTATTAGTTTTCTTTATATTAAACTTATTTAATAAATCTATAATTCCTTATGTTAATATTGTTGTTTTTTAATAAATGCTTATCTTTAAGAATTTAAATTGTAATTTATAAATTTTATTAAAAATTTTTATTAAACATTGTTTTTAAACATTAATCTTATTATAAAGAGCGCATTCTAAATTTACTTTATTAAATAATGCAATCTATCGAATAAATATAAATAAGTGATTAAAATAACGATAAAGTTAACGATTAAATTCGTTACTTTAACTCACTTATTATCTTTATATTTATTCAAGATTGTATTCGTGATACACATATATGTGCGCGTGCGAGTGTATATATTTGCAATTAATTGGCATTATATACATATTTTTTTTAATATATTAAACGCGAAATTGAAAGCGCAAGCTCGGTTATTGTATAATCGAAATACAAGCACGTTCATGAGCGCGTCACAATTACATGGGCACGATTATTCTCTGTATTTACTACTTTATAAGATAAAGTTCTCGGCCTGACATAAAACGATGCTATTAACGATGAAATATTAAATTGCTATAATTTTTAGAAAAGTTTGATCCTGCATAGGGCGACTGTTAAAATGTCAGTTCATTAGTTTATTTCGTTTCATTTCTTTGTTTCGGTCATATAAAGCAACCAACTTTTGATTCCATTATTAACATTAATTCACCCTCACATTTTTTTAATCAAAAATTTCATAAATTTCCACAAGATCAGATTTGGTAAAATATAGTACATGTACCTGCGGAATAAATTCATGGAATTTTATGACTGCAATTGAAGACATGTGAACAAGTGCATTGTCTTGATGGAATCAAAAGTTAATTACTTTACACGAAACAAAGAAATTAATGAACACATCTGAAATTTTATCTGAATTTTTATCTGAAATTTTAACAGCAGGATCAAACTCTAAAATTATAATTGATATTGATGTTATTTCTGTGTCAAGCCGAGAACTACTTTTAGAACTACTTTTGCATATCTATGTCTAACTTATAACTAGTTTTATGCTGAGAATAATTACATTTACAAAACGTAAGAGTTGAAAAAGGAAGACTAACTTCAGTCAGGAAAAGTTGATAAAGTTATACGAAAGTGGGAGAAACAATAGTATTGAGTTATATACAATATATTATTCGATAATATACTTGATAATATAATCATTTAATCGAATCACAAATTTAATGACGTCGTATTACACGACTTGGCAGAGCATGCTGATTTTTAGAGAGTAGCAAGTCCCCACAATACTGGCAAATACTATCAATTTTAGTTTTTAAAATAAACACGCAAAGAAAAACGCATCTGTATTTTTCTAATTGATTGCTTCGCGCGACTTATTTAGGGTTGTCACAGAAAATGAATTTTAAAATTTTCTGACTTTTCCGGTTTTTCAGATCGAATATATTTAATAGAAAATGTATCTTAATTATAAAAAAAGTTTAATTAAAGTGAATTTATATTAAACTATAAAACAAAAATTATTACAAATTAAAACAAAAATTAAACTTGTTAGAAATGTCTAATTTTTACATTTAAAGGAATTATATTTCCTTTGATATAATGACCGATACATGATCTAGTATACAGTTTCAGTAGTATAATCAGTAAAATACTGATTAAGAAAATCAGTATTTGATCACAATTGTTAGATAATATTATTTAAAAAATTATAACAATTATTTGGAATGAAAGTATTTTAATAGAAAGCTTTAATAGAAAGCTCGAAAAATTCCAGACTCTTTTATATTTTTTCTATTTTTTCTCCTAGGTTTTCCATGACCAATTTAAATTTCCACAACTTTTTCCGGTTTTCCAAATCTGTGACAACCCTCGAATTCGTAAAAAAAACGAATTACGTCAAGAAACATGAAGATTCTACAGAGATCTATCGAGACGTAAAAGGACGGAGGACAGGGCGAATAAATACATAAAGTTGTCACGTAAGAGATCGCAGTCTTTTAAAGAGGTAAGTTACAAGTCATGAGTGTATTATATTATAGTCAAGTCCGTAAAGGTCATAAAGTGCTTAACATAGATAAAGTGTTATCGAGAAAACGATGCAATGCCTAACATTTATCGTAAAATTATATTAGACCGTCGTATCAAAGCGTCATCAACTGTACTAAGCATAGTGCGAGTCGCGCATTCGTATTCAGCTCGTTCTCGGTACGAGTTCTGAGCGAGTTTACAAACGAATTTGTAAAATCTGTGGCGCACTGGCGCTAGCAACATACTTTGTGATAGCAAAATACTTTGGTCTGCGACTTCGCGTCCACTTGGCACAAGATAAAAAAATTCGCGAGTAACGCGACGTACACACAGCCCTTGATCTGGTCGAAGCGATTCTGTTTTCCTTTCGCCTCTAGTCCCGGCTTTATCGAGAGGCTTTTAAGAGAGATAACCAACTTCGATGTATGTTTCACCGGATTCTTACGGCATCAGGGATATCGTCACAACAGTCGAATTATTCAATAAGCTATTGCACTAGTTTGTGCAACGTGAGAAGTCATTTATACGATCTTACTTGAACTTGGATCGCGCGTCGGTGCGCCTAGTGTGTGCGTTTAACGTGCCAACGATTTTCTTCGAAGTCGTTTAAGCATCTCAGGTACGTAAACGTGGACGAAATTTGCACTTTGTCGCGCGAAGCGACTCGTTTCAGCGAGCAATGGTGCCAGCTCTTGACTCTCTTTGCTCCTAAAATGAGATTTTTTTCCGCTTATACGGCACATCTATATACAAATTCGATAATTTAACTTCCGATTATCGTTAATATAAATATAAGAATGAGCCGTTTGTATTTTATCGATTAGCGAGAAGGAGGAACGCAGGATGATGTCGATGGTACCTCGATACAGAAAAATCGCATACAATGCAAAATTGCGCACACTTATCATCCATAGCGTATAGAGTATAAGAGTTCTTTCGTTCGATAAATATCATTCTGATTATGTCAAATATAGATGAGACGTCATTTCGGAGACGTCACAAAGCGACTAAACAACGTTATCTCACATCAAATCCGATGGCGGTCTCTGAAACGCAATACTAGCTACGGAAATACTACACAGGCCGGCTGTTATGATACCCATGCATATATAGACCGACGTAATTAGCCAGAAGGCAAACAAATATAGTGTCTTATTGCAATACTTCCCTAATGTTGGATCATAATTTGGCTCATATTCCTTGTATACCCACATAGAACCTGTATTAATAAATAATTAATTAATAAATTAATAAATTTATAAAATTGTTCTTGAAAATAC